TGGGACTCTGCAGATAGGTTGTTCCTTTGGTTGCAGTCATAGGTACTTTGGTTGCAGTCATAGGGCAAGTCTCCTGTCCATCATCGTTAAGTTTTGGTCCCGCCCCTTGCTCAGGGCAATTGGAAAGGGAAGGGGGCCATTTTTAGTTAGTCTCAGCAAGGAAAGCTAATGTACAGGACATGTGCAAACTTCCCCTGTACAAAAGCTTCAACCCTTAAGACTTTCTGGGGGGAAACAGTCTTAAGAGCATCAAAGGATCTCCAAAGATTTCCAGGGAAGCATCCCCAAAGCTTTGAGGACTTTCCGGGGGAAAACAGTTTTAAGAGTCTCCAAAGATTTCCAGGAAAACAGCCCTAAAGACCAAAGAACTCCAGCTGGAAAATATCTAAGCCTTTACTGGTAGGTCCACTCGGTTTTCAAGACGCAATTCGACCCGGTAGCGGAGCCCACATCAGTAAGGGTTAGATTACAGTCAGCCTGGGAGAAGTTAAAAAGGGGATTTTCCTTTAAAGTAAAGAAGTAGTTATTGAAGACAGTTGCCTGTCCTTCGTGGGCAAACTCAGGAAGCCACCAGTTGCATGAAGCCTGGAAGCATTTGCTTAGTTTTATTGAAGACAAGAGAAGCTTCTGTTTGATTGTTCATTAATAAAGGTCTTTTGTTATACTTCACAAGCCATCTAAAGATCATTTGTGGTGGAAAACCTCTGAGAACTTCTCTTTGGGGCCCCTGGCTTCCCGCTGGGCAAAGGTTGCACGTCCAGTTCTAAAGGAAATTCTTTACAGGCCCAGTGCGTGACAGAACAATCTTATTTTTCCCACCTCTCACCACACTTTAAAGCAGGTATGGGCAAACTTCAGCCCTCCAGGTGTTTGGACTTCAACTCCCACAATTCCTAACAGCCAGTAGGCTGTTAGGAATTGTGGGAGTTGAAGTCCAAAACACCTGAAGGGCTGAAGTTTGCCCATACCTGCTTTAAAGACTTTTATGCTTGCAGCATGTCCCATAATAGTTGAGACAGTAGAAAATAGTTGAGACAGTAGAGCAGCGGTGTGAAACGGAAGAGATGGGGAAATCTATCCGAACTTCTGAACAATTAGGAGATAATAATAATCTATATAAATAAAAATGTAATGTTCGTTTGTGGGATTAACAGAACTCAAAAACCACTGGACGAATCGTCGCCAAATTTGGCCACAAGACACCTACTAACCCAAGGAGTGACCATCACTCAAAAAAATTGATTTTGTCATTTGGGAGTTGCAGTCTCTGGGAGTTATAGTTTACTTACAATCAAAGAGCATTCTGAACTCCACCAACGATGGAATTGAACCAAACGTGGCACACAAGATTCCCATGACCAACAGAAAAAACTAGAAGGGTTTGGTGGGCATTGACCTTGAGTTTGGAAGTTGTAGCTCACCTACATCCAGAGAGCATTGTGGATTCAAACAACGATGGATCTGGACCAAACTTGGCACAAATATTCCATATGCCCAAATATGAACACAGATGGAGTTTGAGGAAAATAGACCTTGACATTTGGGAGTTGTAGTTACTGGGATTTATAGTTCGCCTACAATCAAAACGCATGCTGAAACCCCACCAAAGACAGAAATGGGGCAAACTTCCTACACAGGACCCCCATACTTAGGGCCATCCAGTCTAACTCCCTTCACCATGGCAAGAAAACATAATCAAAGCCCTCCTGACAAAGAGCCATCCAGCTTTTTATATATATAGATAGATATGATTCACACAGAGAAAGATATAGTATCATAGATTTGAAAGGAACCCCTAAAGAAGGACAATGATATGTTGCATGTTCCAGAGTAGGCAAACCAGATAATCTCCACATCAACACTGACAAAGAAACAGCAAGAAATACTCTTTACCCACAAACATCAAAACATTACATATATTAGAAACCAACACTTTCTCATTACTTTATATTCCAGATCACCAGACTGGGCCACAGCAATGTGTGGCAGGGGGGCAGCTAGTAGTTTTTGAAACCGGTTCCATCTCTGTGAGCCTGTGAACGGTGGTCCAAAGGGCTCCTTTGGCACCCTGCAGCATCTGAATGTGTGGGTCCAAATGACTAGGGTGGCAGTGTTGACAGAGCCATGCTGAGTGGAGGTGGCTGGCTGCGTAGTGGTGCACCTCTGCCTGTTGATGCAAGGCCCTTCAAGGTGTGAGAGCCATTTGGCGTCAGAGCTCGGTTATTTATGCAAGCGCAGAACAAGTCCAAAGAAAAGGGTGAAACATGAGGAGAAGAGAGGTTCAGGCCACCTCTCCAGAAAACCAGGTAGTTAAGCAGCAACAGAGTACTACTTTAGGTAACCAGTCATGCCCAGGCCCTGGCATTGGGTTATACCCTTGGTTATATCCTGCTCCTTCGTACCCTTCAAGGCTCTTGTTTTACCAGCTGTTAGTTTCCATATACTGCATTCACTGCAGGGAAGGGCACAAAAACTCTGTAAAAATGGAAAAAAAGACATTGCCATTTTTTAAAACCCGAAAACACTTTTCTAAGGATTTTCTAGATCAGGGGTGCTCAAACTTTTTAAACAGAGGGCCAGGTCACAGTTAGAGGAACTATTGGAGGGCTGGATTATAATTTGAAAAAACCATGAATGAATTTCTATGCACATTGCACAGATCTTATTTGGAGTGCAAAAAAAACCAACTTCAAAACAATACACTAATTAAAATGAAGAACAATTTTAACAAATATAAACTTATTAGTATTTCAGTGGGAAGTGTGGGCCTGGTTTTGGCTGATGAGATGGGATTGTTGTTGTTGTTGTTGTTGTTTTGTGTTTTCAAGTTGTTTCAGACTTAGGTTGACCCTGAGCGAGGGCCAGGTAAATGACCTTGGAGGGCCGTATCCTCCAAGTTTGAGGACCTCTGTTCTAGATCATGGCATGAGTCTTCCAACAGAAGGTGATTTTAGAGACTTGGAGATTCTTTGAGAGAGAACATTTCCACCTAAACGTTAGGAAGAACATCCTGACAGCGAGAGGTGTCTGACAGTGGAATATGCTGCCTCCACGTCTCCTGGAGTCTCCTTCTCTTGAGGTTTTTCAGCAGAGTCTGGCTTGCCATCTGCTAGGAGGGCTTGGATGGTGCATTTCATCCTGGCAGAAGGGGGTTGGATTAGATGGCCCTTAGGGTCTCCTCCAGTTCTATGATTCTAAAGCAAATCTACACGTAATCAAATCTGCAAATGTGGAAGGACAGCTGCATTGCCTTCTAAATCCCAATTGCACTTTGCTAGAGACTCAGGATTATCTGCACATTGCACCTATCTCTATATACCTCTACATATTACCTGTCAAGTTCAGCATTTTAATTTTTGTCCATTACATTTGGCCCGGCCTTTGGTTTTAATTATGTCACGGTGTCATTGTTTCACTGTTTTATTGTTTTGTTTGATGTTTATTATTTGCTTTTGAGTTTTTTGTGTATTGTATGTTGTTGATTGTTGGCGGCCTTGGCCTTTGTAAGCCGCATTGAGTCCTATGGGAGATTTTGCAGAGTATAAATAAAGTTAATAATAATAATAATCCCCTTGTGATCCATTTACACAACGTGGTGAGATTTAGTAAGCTAGTGAACTTCAATAGCAACAAATTGTTTTTTAAAGATGGAGAGCTGGTTTCAAGAGCAAAATATTGCTTTTTATAAACCTGTTTCCTCTCTGATGGTTTTCTGTGTTGACATGCTCAATGCGCCCTGGCATTCCGATGCCGAAACCCAGGTCTCCTGCCCAATGCAAATTCCTGAGTGCGTCTTCATTGCACCGAGGTGTTATTCCGTTCTGCTGAGTCAGTGTCTGCGTCTCCGTCGCATCCTGGCCTTTTGAAAGACCAGGTTCCTGCCTCTGGCCTGGGCTGCTCTGGGGCTAAATACAGCCCAACAATATCCCTCCTTCTCCATATGCACCGCACTTCCTTCCTGTTGTCCGGTCTGACCCTGTCTGTCTTCTCCTGACCCGTTTTAGTTTCCAGGAGAAGGCTGTCTGTCCGCAATCGCCACCCATAACCGTCTCCCAGACTCCTCTGTCAACAGGATGGGCACCAACCCACTAGAGCTTGGCAGACTTGAAGGGTGATCAGAAGTACCTGGGAAAGGTCTCTGCCCAGCAAGATCAATAATGGTCTTCCTGGATCAAGTCCTAAACCTAGCATCACATTATAGTCGTTCCCATAATCCAGCTATTCCCATGGCAAGGCCTTCCAGATATAAATGGCAAACATAACTCCTTATGGACACCAGAAAACAAAACAGTGAATATTTTTCCATTCCTATCCATGCTTGATCAGAAGAAATTGACCTTTCAGTCAGGGATGGACAACTTCCAAGGGTTTGGGGGCCAAAGTCTCAAAACACATGGTCCCAGATCAAAAAACACAGCAACAGATGGTTATTTATTTATTTGTTGTGTCAGGGCAACCAATCAATTGTATTACATTTCTAACAGAACAAAACAAACAAAACACAGATTTTGCAAACTTGGTAGTTGATTAAATGTCCTTTGACCAGTCTCTGGCCACTTGGAGTGCCTCTGGTGTTGCCGCAAGAAGGTCCTCCCTTGTGCATGTGGCAGGGCTCAGGTTGCATTGCAGCAGGTGGTCAGTGGTTTGCTCTTCTCCACACTCGCATGTCGTGGATTCCACTTTGTAGCCCCATTTCTTAAAATTGGCTTTGCATCTCGTGGTGCCAGAGTGCAGTCTGTTCAGCACCTTCCAAGTCGCCTAGTCTTCTGTGTGCCCAGGGGGGGAGTCTCTCATTTGGTATCAGCCATTGGTTGAGTTCTGGGTTTGAGCCTGCCACTTTTGGACTCTCGCTTGCTGAGGTGTGCCAGCGAGTGTCTCTGTAGATCTTAGAAAACTATTTCTAGAGATAACAGATGGTTGTATTACTTCCTTCTTTCTTCAGCTTCATAACTTAAAGTAGATTAATTATCATAACTGGGTTTTTCTCTTTCTCTTTGCAGATCCCTGATGAATTTGATAATGGTAAGTAGAACCCTTTGCCTCTTCAAAGTTGCTTACGATGGGATGGAGTTGGCAGACTGGGCTGAGGTGGACAGTTCTGAGTGGTTAGAGTTCAGTTGTGATTAAGTTGAGTAGCAAGTTGAAGAGATACCTTTTCCTATACAAAAGTTCTACATTTGTTTAAAAACAACACAGTGTTTATACTTAATGAACTTTTTCAGCCCTTGTATTCCAGACTTGTTTTTAAGATAGATTTGTGCTACAAATGTCTTTAATGCTTTTAAATCCACATTGTTGCTGCTGTTATTCTTTTTGACCTCACGGACCAGTCCATGCCAGAGCTCCCTGTCCAGGGGCTCCTTCAGAGTCAAGCCAGTCACTTCAAGGATCCCATCCATCCATCTTGTCCTTGGTCGACCCCTCTTCCTTTTTCCTTCCTTTCCCTCCAGCATCATTGTCTTCTCCATGATGTGGTCAAAGTACTTCATCTCTGCCCCTAATATCCTTCCCTCTAATGAGCAGTCGGGCTTTATTTCCTGAAGTATGGACTGGTTGGATCATCTTGCAGTCCAAGATATGGGAATGTGGGATGGAGTGGGGGAATCCCGCCTAATCTTATCTCTAGTCTACTTACTTATTGAGGTCTGGAAACTTGATGACAGAAGAGACTTGTGCAGTTCAGGGATGAAACCCAACACTTTTCTTATCATAGTGCTGGGTATAGTTAGCCCTCCATCTCAAGAGATTCTGTATCCATCCATGACTTGAACTTAAGGTGAACCTCTCACAGGATTTTCCTTGCAAGACAAAGCAAGAACCCTGGTTTCCAGTGTCCAGCATTCAGACCATTACATCCCACTGGCTTCCTATATGGTCATAAGGTAAAGGTAAAGGTTTTCCCCTGACATTAAGTCCAGTCGTGTCCGACTCTGGGGGTCTTCTCCTGACATTAAGTCCAGTTGTGTCCGACTCTGAGGGTTTCCCCCAGACATTAAGTCCAGTTGTGTCCGACTCTGAGGGTCTTCTCCTGACATTAAGTCCAGTTGTGTCCGACTCTGAGGGTTTTCCCCTGACATTAAGTCCAGTCGTGTCCAACTCTGGGGGTCTTCTCCTGACATTAAGTCCAGTCGTGTCCGACTCTGGGGGTCTTCTCCTGACATTAAGTCCAGTTGTGTCCGACTCTGAGGGTTTTCCCCAGACATTAAGTCCAGTCATGTCCAACTCTGGGGGTCTTCTCCTGACATTAAGTCCAGTCGTGTCCAACTCTGGGGGTCTTCTCCTGACATTAAGTCCAGTCGTGTCCAACTCTGGGGGTTTTCTCCTGACATTAAGTCCAGTCGTGTCCAACTCTGGGGGTCTTCTCCTGACATTAAGTCCAGTCGTGTCCAACTCTGGGGGTCTTCTCCTGACATTAAGTCCAGTCGTGTCCAACTCTGGGGGTTTTCTCCTGACATTAAGTCCAGTCGTGTCCAACTCTGGGGGTCTTCTCCTGACATTAAGTCCAGTCATGTCCAACTCTGGGGGTTTTCTCCTGACATTAAGTCCAGTCGTGTCCAACTCTGGGGGTCTTCTCCTGACATTAAGTCCAGTCGTGTCCAACTCTGGGGGTCTTCTCCTGACATTAAGTCCAGTCATGTCCAACTCTGGGGGTTTTCTCCTGACATTAAGTCCAGTCGTGTCCAACTCTGGGGGTCTTCTCCTGACATTAAGTCCAGTCGTGTCCAACTCTGGGGGTTTTCTCCTGACATTAAGTCCAGTCGTGTCCAACTCTGGGGGTTTTCTCCTGACATTAAGTCCAGTCGTGTCCAACTCTGGGGGTCTTCTCCTGACATTAAGTCCAGTCGTGTCCAACTCTGGGGGTCTTCTCCTGACATTAAGTCCAGTCATGTCCAACTCTGGGGTCTTCTCCTGACATTAAGTCCAGTTGTGTCCGACTCTGAGGGTTTTCCCCAGACATTAAGTCCAGTTGTGTCCGACTCTGAGGGTTTTCCCCTGACATTAAGTCCAGTCATGTCCAACTCTGGGGGTCTTCTCCTGACATTAAGTCCAGTCGTGTCCAACTCTGGGGGTCTTCTCCTGACATTAAGTCCAGTCATGTCCAACTCTGGGGGTCTTCTCCTGACATTAAGTCCAGTCGTGTCCAACTCTGGGGGTTTTCTCCTGACATTAAGTCCAGTCATGTCCAACTCTGGGGGTCTTCTCCTGACATTAAGTCCAGTCGTGTCCAACTCTGGGGGTCTTCTCCTGACATTAAGTCCAGTCATGTCCAACTCTGGGGGTTTTCTCCTGACATTAAGTCCAGTCGTGTCCAACTCTGGGGGTCTTCTCCTGACATTAAGTCCAGTCGTGTCCAACTCTGGGGGTCTTCTCCTGACATTAAGTCCAGTCGTGTCCAACTCTGGGGGTCTTCTCCTGACATTAAGTCCAGTCGTGTCCAACTCTGGGGGTCTTCTCCTGACATTAAGTCCAGTCGTGTCCAACTCTGGGGGTCTTCTCCTGACATTAAGTCCAGTCGTGTCCAACTCTGGGGGTTTTCTCCTGACATTAAGTCCAGTCGTGTCCAACTCTGGGGGTCTTCTCCTGACATTAAGTCCAGTCGTGTCCAACTCTGGGGGTCTTCTCCTGACATTAAGTCCAGTCGTGTCCAACTCTGGGGGTTTTCCCCAGACATTAAGTCCAGTCATGTCCAACTCTGGGGGTTTTCTCCTGACATTAAGTCCAGTCATGTCCGACTCATCTCCATATCTAAGTCAAAGAGATGGCATTGTCCGTAGACACTTCCAAGGTCATATGGCCAGCATGACTTCATGGAGCGCTGTTACCTTCCCGCCGGAGCGGTTCCTATTGATCTACTTACATTTGCATGTTTTCGAACTGCTAGGTTGGCAGAAGCTGGGTCTGATAGTGGAAGCTCAACCCGCTCCTCAAATTCGAACCTGTGAACTTTAGGTCAACAAGTTTAGCAGCTCAGTGGTCATGCCAGGAGCTAATTTTTCTTATATCCTCCCCCCACAAAAGGTCCATAACATCATAATGTAATATATATAATATAAAATTTACCTATCCAGAAAACAGGTAGAAAAGTGGGATTTCATAATCCAGTAGGACAGTAATCATTAGAGTTTCCTGGTTTATATTATGTGGGAGCTGCTATTTGAATCAGGTGTCGCTTGATACATTTTTAACTTTTCATATCCACATGAGCTCAAGGTAAAAACTTGGGACTTTAATCTTGAATTTGGGCCAAGGTAACTTCAAGTACCTCTGCATTTAACCAGCTGAGGAATTGGTAAAGAGAGTTGAGCAAGAAGTAGGTGGCCTCCTTGATGCATTTAACTGAAGACTTCCTTACCCAGCCACCTCTTTACAAGCGGCTTAAAAAATTAAAATCCCAAGAAGCAAAGTTTCCAGGAATAACTAGAATCGCTTGACGTTTCTAACAGAAGAATGGGAGAGGTTGGCTTTCTTCAGCGGCTTGAGAGCAGATGTATCGGAGCATAAACAGAAGGTCAGGCGGGACATAGTTTGCGGTGACGATGGGGGAGTTAAACAATGCTCCTCCAAATGCCTGTTCCTGGGTATCGCTGGAGGCGAAATGCAGCGGGCAGCAATGAATGGAGAGCCCCAGAGCCTTCAGGACCGCGGGTGTCCCTTGGGAGAATTATTGTTATGCCATAGGCATCCCAGATGTCCTCCTCAGCTATTCTGCTTTTCACAATGACGAAGACACAGCAGGCGGGGAAGCAGATTTCGGGGCCCTAAAGGCATCTTTGCGTTGCCTTTCACTTATTGTTGGCATGACTTTGTTTGTGTTGGCAAACTCTGGCCCTCTGGGTGTTTTGGATTTCAACTCCCACAATTCCTAACAGACTATTGGCTGCTAGGAATTGTGGGAGTTGAAGTCCAAAACACCCAGAGAGCCTCTGGTCATTTCTGGTCACATGCCCAGTGTGGAACACATCTCACCACGCTAAAACTATGGATGTGGCTCTTAATGAGACATGACGCATTATCACAGGGTGTCTGCGCCCTGGAGAAATTACACTGTTTAGCCCAGGGGTCCTCAAACTAAGGCCCGAGGGCTGGATATAGCCCTCCAAGGTCATTTACCCGGTCCTCGCTCAAGGTCAACCTAAGTCTGAAACGACTTGAAAGCACACAACAACAACAACAACAACAACAACAATCCTATCTCATCAGCCAAAAGCAGGCCCAGGCTTCCCTTTGAAATACTAATAAGTTTATATTTGTTAAAATTGTTCTTCATTTTATTTATTGTATTGTTTTAAGGTGTTTTTTGCACTACAAATAAGATATGTGGAGTGTGCATAGGAATTCATTCATGTTTTTTTCAAATTATAATCAGGCCCTCCAACAGTTTGACAGATTGTGGCCTGGCCCTCTGTTTAAAAAGTCTGAGGACCCCTGCGTGCCCAAAGGCCCAAATAGGACAGTTTAGGGTGCTTTTGAGAAGCAAGTTCCCCACTTAGTGGAGGTTTTCTAAGAATATATATAAGAAATCAAGGAAAAGAAGATTTAGGGAGGTGGGAGAAGGGGGAGAAGTTTGCCTTTCGCCAGCCAGCACTGTTCAGCCGGCCTGGCATATGCTCTCTGCAGCTTAAAAGGCCTTCTCCAGGAACAGCCCCCCATTGTTGCCCACAATAGATCCACTCCCTCTCCCCCCTCTGCTCCCATTCAGGCTTCTTTAACCCTCTCCCCCTCCCTTTAAGCACACGTTTACAAGTCTGGTTAAACAGCTCTGCAATTGGGGATACCAAAACTATTCTTCTCTCCTGCCCTTCTTTATCCTCTGCATGCACATTCGACTTTTCTGCTGGAAGATATTGAGGTTACATTTTCTAATGCCAGACTTAATGGCAGTCTGGAAGCAGCCACTTGGCACGTGTGTTTTCGATTTAAAATAATGTTTTATGTGCGGTCCTTTTAAAAATAATTTTGTTTTTTCTGGAATGGAGCAGAAAATCTGCTATGACAAGCCAGTCAGTTTCAGAACTGGAAAA